AATGGATACTTTCGCAAGTGGAGGAAATCAATTAGACCGCTGTGCATTGGTCACGAAGGGTATTATTTTATTAAACGTTTGAAAGCATTAAAATTCGGGAACGCCATTATCAATGGTACATTTAATATGCTGATTACCTATAATAATTTGTAAAATGAAAATGGATGTATGTAGACTTATACATCAACATAAGTAGTTTAACTAAAATTCAAATAATTTTTTTTAAAGTTGTGGTTACAAAACTTAAAATTTGGATGGTTATTTTAATTTAGTACAGATATGTAATTTAAGTCGTAAGTGACATCAGTTTTTGTCAGAGTTTCATATTAATTACGATTTAACCTAACCATTACTTATGTAAATATGCAGCTGTGTATGTATGTATTGGAACAATTTAAAGTTAAAACATAGAAGATAATTTTCCAAAAGCTTATCTGAACGATTCACTCTACAATCATTTTTGGGTTAAAAATTGGAAATCTATACGACGATTTCCATCAGCTATCGCCGGTAAAAAAGGTCGTATTTTATTTTCTGCTGTTTTAGCTCAAAAACCTGCTCAGCGGGTCCGAACTATTCGATTTAGACAGTTTTTAAAATTTCCACGTCCTCCTCCGTCTAATGGTATGGGGGAAAGCACTACCTTTTTCGATAAAACTTGCCAACTTTCTCCCTCGATTGTGAAGCAACCAGTAGGCCCACAGCGGTCAAACTTCGCATGGACAATCCCCGGGCTATGCTTTTGGGTCATCCTGAAGCGCTAGGCCCTACGCGTACTCCTTGACCTCAAAATGACATGAGGTCAAGTTACAAAGTTGGCTCATCCATCACCATTTTTTAAATAGCTCGCATTTCAACAATCCCCGATAGATTCTCTTCATATTTGATAAAAACTGATAACTGATCAGACTGACTTGTACTATCAGATTCGTTAAGGATTTTTAAATATTTCCAAGGTCAACAAGTTTTTCGCACAAACGAAAAAGGTCACCAGGCAAAGTCTCACATAACCCCATAAGTGGGGTATCGTTGGAAAGGTCTTGGTGGGAGGATTCAGAATATATATACTTTATGTGGTCTGGGACCACCCCCAGATTTTATTGAGACCGATGAGTATCATTGAGTTTTGGTTTTCCGTGCATGCAGACGTTTACACAGGAGCAGATTGAGAGCAAACATGGCGGTAGATTGAGGAAAACTCGATATTGCTCATCGGTCTCTAGAAAACCAGAGGGTGGTCCCAGACCCCATAAAGTATATATATTCTGAATCCTCCCACCAAGACCTTTCCAACGATACCCCACTTATGGGGTTATGTGAGACTTTGCCTGGTGACCTTTTTCGTTTGTGCGAAAAACTTGTTGACCTTGGAAATATTTAAAAATCCTTAACGAATCTGATAGTACAAGTCAGTCTGATCAGTTATCAGTTTTTATCAAATATGAAGAGAATCTATCGGGGATTGTTGAAATGCGAGCTATTTAAAAAATGGTGATGGATGAGCCAACTTTGTAACTTGACCTCATGTCATTTTGAGGTCAAGGAGTACGCGTAGGGCTTAGCGCTTCAGGATGACCCAAAAGCATAGCCCGGGGATTGTCCATGCGAAGTTTGACCGCTGTGGGCCTACTGGTTGCTTCACAATCGAGGGAGAAAGTTGGCAAGTTTTGTCGAAAAAGGTAGTGCTTTCACCCAGACCATTAGACGGAGGAGGACGTGGAAATTTTAAAAACTGTCTAAATCGAATAGTTCGGACCCGCTGAGCAGGTTTTTGAGCTAAAACAGCAGAAAATAAAATACGACCTTTTTTACCGGCGATAGCTGATGGAAATCGTCATACACGTGAGTGAAGTGACAACAAAATTTTGGCTGAAATAAATTGTCAACGTTAAATGGCAAATTATTAGAACTTGGATAAGTTACTGCATCTTAAAGGTATATCGCCGCTTAAGTTCCGTGAAGAACCAGGTGAAAACCTGTGACGGGTGTATGTATGCTTTGATTGGGGTTCGATTCACAAATTTGGTGTTCCATTTCCTGAATTGATGAGTAATAGACTCACTGTTTGGTTCATACAGAAGTCTTGAATTACCAGCGGGGTTCCATTATCGATAAAGTTCGACCCGAATTTTATCTTGAGCACGGCGCACGCCTTGATCTCTCTAGCTAGCCGGGATTTCCTCCCGCTAAACTTCACCGTATGCCTGGCATACGCTCGAAGGACCTTGATCGACTTACTGTACACCCAAGAGGCCACCGAATAAACGAAGACGTTCGCCAGCACGCAGTCAAACATAATGAGTGGGAAGATGAGAAACCCTGGCATCGGTATTTCGTCATGCAACTGAATACAGACGTATTGAGAAACGACTTGGATTATAGGAATGCTTAGCACAATCATGGGTACAATTCTCTTCATGAGATATCCATTAAAGTATTTTTCCAGAATTTGAATACTTCTGTAGAATTGTAGACAGGGGCGTTGTTCCGATATTGATCTCGAGTTTCCTATCCGGCTAAAACAAGAAATAATTTTTTTTAGCTGCATTGTTTTATGCAAAAAATAGGCCCATAACGAATTTTTGACCTAATTATTAGTTGAAAGTAGTCGAGAATCGCGACAATGCCGGGAAATAAGATGCAGAAAACCCACGTCGGTCCGGCCCTGGAGAGTTGAAGGGCCATCCATGCCTCAAACAGGACCACCCAGATTTCTGGTCCTGGCGACATCCAAGAGATTTCTGCACAATGGAATGTAGAGAGTATGAACGGCGGCATACAAGGGTTCAAGATAAGCAGAGTAATCACCGCGAAAGGCATGATTAACGTGGTGAAGTCGAGCAAGCAGAGGTAGAAGTACATCACCCTGGCTTCGATAGACGGCTTGACATTTTCGCCATCTACATATACATATTTCCTAATATAGATATATTTCATACACGATAAAAAAAAATATAATTCAAGTACCTCGGAGATGTTTTTCAAACTTCAGTATCGAGTTGATTATTTGTACTGGTGCAATATCCAGGCTCACATTGGATCCCACGGATGCCAACAACACGAAACAGAACAAGATCGGAAATCCCTGTAGCATTTTTAGCATCGGGAGGTTGTTAAGCCTGTATGAAAGCAAACCCACATAAATCAAGGTGATAATATACTGGAATTGCGTGGAGATTACACGACTGCGGGTTTTGGTAAGGACAAATTTGCCTGATTCAGCATCAAATTCGAAAGCAAGGTTGTGTAGGAACCGAGCAACTTTGAAATATCTTATTACAAAGGGGAGAAATTGGCGGGTGTACATGGCGATATGAGTGGCTTAGCTCCAAATTCTCAATGGAAGAAATCGAAGATTTTTTGGGTTTGTTAAGACGACGGATGATAAGCAAAGGTAGGGTAAGTTAGGACAGATTCTCTATGAATAATAAAGCAACCGACACTGTACTTAAGAACCGAGTTTTGTGTGGGCAGTGTATAAGGTAAGCATGATAAGGAAATCCCCGTGCATATATAAATCTACTCCGATATGTTTTCATGTCGAATTTAGTGTTGAATTAAATATTTTGTAAATAAAGGATATCGATGAGCTAGTCGTCCAACTTATGCACATGCAGGATGGTTATTAACTTTGTAGTTATTTTGTTTCAAAGGCATGTAAGGATGTTTCCTGTTCACCCATTCTTCAGTAAATATACAAACAAGCACGAATAGTGAACCAGGTGAGATACAGCTCTGCTATGATGTCTTGATATATTTGTATGCGTTGTTAGTACATAATTTATTAATTATGGATGTTCAGGAAATTTAGATTGCCACGTGTGCAAACATCAATTCCTTCGGCATTCATTTGGTAAGCCTGTATACAATATACATTAATGTATATATGTAAGTCACTCATCTTAATATCCAATTACTGATTGTGCATACCTCTACTGATGCATACTTCCAATCTTTCTGATGCTTATGCTAATGCTTAATAAATTAATTATGAACTTCGTTATCAATTTCTTAGCCTACATATTTGTCGGGGGTCAAAATCATCTTAAAAGTGGTAATTTAACAAAGGCAACGACGTTAAATAAAAATCAATCATTTCGTAGATTTTATTCATTTAGCTGACAATCAAATACATTTTTAAACTGTTAACCACACCCTCCAATAAAAGTGAACCAAATATACCTAAACAACAATCATTCAAATGCAAATTATCTACATTGTTTCAATCCATGCCTCGATTTCAGGTGATATATTTTTTTACACAAAGTATATTACTTAATTACTGAATGCCTTGGTGTTATTTATAAACACTTTCTATCAACTGAGAATGCAAATTACTAACTAGACTATAAAACATGCCTATCACCCATAATTCCATAAGTACAGGTTGTACTTAAACGAGTCCAGTAATACTCAAATTGTCAACAACTCAATGAAGTTATGTATGCGTTTGTGCTGATACTTACATACATAAATATGTAGGCTGAAAATAATTTTATTGTCGGTCTGTACAGTTGATAATGTGAAACAGTTATACCAAACTTGAAATGTTATGAAATTCTACAATTTCTACAATCGCAGTCAAACACAGGAGAAAATACTGAGGAGGGAAGCTTGCGAGGTTGATAATAACAGAACTTGATGCCCTTTGGATATGTGGTAGTGTCCCATGAGTGTACTAAAACCCTGAAGTGGTTTGACTCCATGGCCACATTTGCGCCCGCCACACCCACTCAAAAATGCCCAAAAAACGCTTTCACTCCAGTTTTCACTCACTCAAATCCACGCCAAAAATCCAATTTTACTCGGATTTTGAAATTTCTTTCAACAATATACTCCTAGATAGTTGCTTTCTTCCATCCAACTTCAAACTCAATTTTTTCGAAATTGTTAGTATTTTTAAAATTTAAAATTCTGAATGAGCATTGTTGTACACTGCAAATAAACTGGTGTCAATTCCGCGCGGTGTAGTCACATATAGACACCACGCGGTGTTAATACGGGCAATTAACACCGCGTGGTGTCTATATGTGACTACACCGCGCGGAATTGACACCAGTTTATTTGCAGTGTACATTTACGATATCTACATACGAAAATTCAATCCTAACGAAGCTTCGTAAATATACGCAAGGTTTAGGAATCTTTTTCGTTCGTAAACCAATTTCTTAACAATACAAAATCGTGATATTTCGAACACCATATTTACTTACTGATGATATAAGGCAAGGCAAAAATTACGACCAATTTTTACGAAATATTTCTTACGAAGGTTCTTTCACGTCAACCCTTTGTAACTGACGTAAATTTACGAATATTTTTTTACAAATCCCTAGCTACGAATGTCGTGAAACTTATGTACAAAATGGAGGTATTTATTAATTGATTTAATATTCAGAAACTTATCAGGATTGTACAGATTGATATCAGAATTGTACAATTCTTATTCTGTTATTACTCGGGTACAGTAGTCTTGCAAGAATTGACTCCTCCGTATTAAAATTGTTACCGCTTGGTAATAACATTACATTCACGGATAAAACAAATTTGCAGAGGGTATGGTAAAACTTTCATACTGAAGTACTTCGTAATACCATTTTGGTAGTGTCACACATACAACAACCGCTCGGTATTATTTGAATACTCTATTTCTAACTGTTCAAACAGACGAGATTATGGTAATCTTCAGAAATACAATCATCTTGAATTGTAGCACAACTTTCCCAGTTTTTATTTAAGTAATTCATTACTTTCAACTAGTTGCACCCGACCTTTGTAAACAAAGTACTAATTAACAAAAAATAATCCATTACATTTTTTCACTTGGGGGCCACCCGTATATTACGTCATCAAAAATTCTCAATTTTTGCCACCCACCTACCGAATGCATATATTAAAGGATAGGAAGACCTAAACCACCCACCCAGTAAAATTATACCGTAATATATGCACGATCCCTAGACGAGCAACAAATTAATTACTCTGTCCACGCAAAACTGCCAAATCACCAGTGATGTCACCCCGTCGAAGAAGTTTCCTCCCCCCAACGAAATTCGTAAGGATGAACACGACCTTATAAACCTCTTTCCCCACGCGGATCGAGTCCTGCCCTTCATATTTTTTACGAATAGTTCCGAGCACAAGTGGGACAGGCTGAGACATTTGATGAGGACGTGAATATCGAAGAAAAAGTCGACCCAAACGACCAGGAAAAATACTCTGATTGGAAGTGTCAACTGGTTAAAAGACGTGGACAAAATGTACATCGACATTATTTCAGCAGTCATAATTGACAAGAGGAGCAGTGACATTAAGGGTTTTCTCCAGAATGAGTTGATCACATTTTGAACAACTTGCGCGACTCGGTATGCCTTCATTTTTTGCGGGGACTTTTCAGCCTGCCTGAAATTAAGGAAGATATAAACTGTATATTAAAGTTTAAAAGATTACCGAATACAACGTAAAAAGGTAGCATTATGTATTATATGCTGAAACCATATCTAGCGAACACTTTATCGGTCTGTTTGTCTCTTGATGGGTCTGGCTGTCCGTGGGCCGTCTGTCTGTCTGTTCGTCCAGTCATATCTGTTAGCCTATCGGTCCGTCTGTTCTTCTGTCTTTCCATCGGTCCGACTCTTTATTTGTCGGTTCGACAGTCTGTCTTTCCATCTAGCTATTCCGCCTGTTCCTCGGTCTATCCGTCTGTCTGTCTGTCTGTCTGAAACCGGGGTAATCCGAGGGCGAGTCGAGATAATCAGGAACGGTTTCCGGTATGATACATGCAATCCTAGGATAGGACCCTATAACTTTTAGAGTCAATCGGACCATCCCCCTCGAGATAATGGGGTGTGGTTCTTGTTTCACCCTATAATTCTTTCGCTACGTTTCATTTATTATTTAAGACTTACTACCTTTCCACGAGGATCACCCAGAGACGCATCATCTCCGACGGATAGATAAGCACTCCTCCATGAAAGAAGACGCAAAATACTGTCATTAAATACCACGTGTAGCCTTCGAATAGCCCGAGCAATATCTTCTGAGTGAAACTTATTCCTCCCGGACGTTCCCATCCGGCCTGACAATCTTCGAGCAGAATGCTTCCAAGTGACGGAGGAGTGCATGGTCTCACCACGGCCAGACCGGAAACTGCTATCGTCACCGAGAAGTACGTCATCTTCACCAACTCGCAGAACCAAACGAGGTATTTTATCGTGTAGTTGGACGCACCTAAGAAAAATTAGCAATAATTTATGCATGCAATTCACGCGGTCCTGGGTAACATTAAAGATATCGTCGTTGAAGCTGCCAAAGTAGCTAAATCCATTTTGTGTTAAATGCCAAAGGAGCCTTCTCAATGTTAAGTTAGGTAGATTAGGCTCTCTTTGGTATTTAACACAAAATGGATTTAGCTCCTTTGGCAGCTTCAACGACGATATTCATTATTTCTTTATTTCCTAGTATCGTAAAATACTTATTCTACAACTTACAAATATTTCTTAGGAAAAGTAGCAAACTTTTGTAAACTTACTCAGATCCCTTTATTTTATAGAAGTTTATAAAAAATAGTTTTACAAAATAAACGGGTTTTACAAGTTACAAATTATTGCGTGAATTGACCTTATGTTAGATCATGAAATGAATTAATTTTCTGAGCTTCTCTTCTTACCCCAAACTTCTCTGCAAAATGTTTCCATTTCGAAAGCCGTCTTGACAAGAAACTTGCATTCTGTTTTCCTCCAAAGTGAGACAATCTGGCAGCCAAATATGATGACAAGCACGGCGAAAAAATATCCCATCATTAATTCCTTCCAAACTGGATTGCTACTAGAAAGTGGTCCTTTTCTAAGCCATGCCTTACAAAAGTGTAGCATAAACACGGCACAATTTAAGGCCATGGTCAAAACTGATGCTGCAAGGAGCCCCAGTTGTCGAGGGCCCTTAAGCAAAACGACTTCGGTCCCCTTTCCACTGAAAACGATGGGAAGGGCGCAGGACATCATGGACCAATAAGAAAGGAGACGTATTAAAGGACCATACGCCGTGGAGGGTGGGGGACGCCACACATTTTTCAAATACTGGGGAAAATTCATTTTCGAAATTTTTCGAATTTCACCAAATAAATGAAAATACATAGAAGAAAAACCGGAATTGTGCTCTTTTAAGCAAACCGAATGTATAATTTGTCGAAAACCTGAATGAAGCAGTCACTTCTGTGTGCGTCAGTCTGGTTAAGAATAACTACACTCTTAAAATTCACCGTTAATCGTCACCACGCGATGATAATGTTGCTCATATAATGGTGATAAGATAACACCAGGCAGAAACAATTTGTCACCATGCGGGCCAGGTTTGAGGTGAACAAAATTCCCCCTATTTCGTAAAGTCACTATGAATAATATATCACTTGTCATAGTCAACACTGCGATGTGACGATTACCATCAGATTTTTAAGAGTATAATAGACGTATTATAGGGACGTTGGAAGGTATCTAATTTTATCAATTGAAACCAATTATTGAGAATTGCGGTGAAAACAAGAATAACAAATTGATTTGACATTTTACCAGCTATTCCTCCAATATATAATTACAATTTATAATTGGAAAGGTGGCAATATTTAGAGCGTAATACTGCGTTTGGCGAGACAAGTAATTTTACCATATCTCTAAATATTTACAACTATGTATATACCGGTGGTTTCGCATCCGAATCCAGTTGGAGAATGAGTAGAGCACCTATAAGTTCAAATGCATAGTTCACGCTTTATAATACTGACAATGCGATGACGCCAGCATTCTCGCTCCGATTTTGACGAAACCACAAAAATTATATAGTATTAGATAAATAATTAAACACGTGTTAAATGATTTTTTTATAATGCTCAGTTTAAACGAAGTTATGACGGGGTCCGTCAGCGAGAATTTCAATTTTTGCGTGACATTTCTCTCGCGAGGGAGATAGATACAGATTCTCGCTTATGGATTGCATCAGAATTTCGCTTAAACTTAAAATGCATGGGCATGAAGTGGTTTTTTCCGATTTTGACAGGACTAATTTTTAATTGTTCACACAGGAAATAAGCGGAAGTCTTCAGTTATACCAGGATTTTGTTTTATATTGCTGGGGATGCTTTGATGTTGGTAAGGAATTTTTTTCATCTTGCAGAGAACTGTTTTTATGCTACTAAAGAAATTGTTTTTATGCTGTTAAGGAAATTTTTTGACGTTGCTAAAAAAATTATATGTTGCTAAGGAAATTTTTTAACGTTTCTAATGATCATAATCATAATTCGTATCACTTCCCTGGTTGGTTGACTCAGAATTTCGACAGCCAATCAGAATACAGGAATATCACGGAAAATTTGAAAGGACAGACTTTTCGAAATTATAAAATAGATTACTTTAATTGTATTCTGTACATATATCAACACATCACGCCACACCTCGCCTCACAATCTACATAAATGGAATGTTGGAACAAGTGCAAAAAACTGCGTCAGAGAAATCAAATTATCTCCACGAGATTATGCCAGCCACCCCGCACGTCATTCCTGACAATGTAAAATTTCGTAGCTCTATGTTGACTTACTTGCTCATACATACATATGTATCAGATACATATTTAGTATGCATGTATAGGATGTTGATCTATGATTCACAGATACAACTGCACATGGAACTGATTAATATGATGGCATTGTACGTACAAATCACAGTAGTGTGGAATGGCTAAAAAACTTTATTTCGCATTGCATCTTATCTGAAATTGATTGATAAGGTCCGAGTGACAATATTCGTTGAATTTTTACCAAATGCGCAGTTACGCCAGGTGTGTCACACAAAAAATTTCAGTTCCATAAATGATTTAGCAAAAAAATGAAGCGAGTTAAGGAAAGTTCGCAATCTCGGTATCAAGTCTGGAGCCCCTGTTTCGGCTTCTTCCTGCAGGGAGCTGTAAAATCTTTAGCTATAACGGACGTGGTAATGCTAAATTTCTTTGGAAAAATTGTAATTTTAGAATTAATTAACTGAAATAATTTAAGGGGATCCAAATTGGAATGCTTGTCTGCATTACGACCGGAGTTTTAGTCTCTCTTTCCGGAGGTTTAACTACTGGCGTGGATGATGGTCCATTCAAAAAATTTGGTAATTTTCTTAACCGTGGGTTTATGCATTTCATGTGGTATTAAATTTGAATTGGAAAACATATTTTCTAGTGAAATATTTTATCTACGGCTACTGTTACATTTATCACATCCTGAACATTCCATTCTCTAAATCGCTCTATTTCTGCGCGGCATACCTGGAATTTCTTACCCAACCACCCAGCAATGCTGGGAGAACACTTGGGACACTTGGGAGAACACTGGAAAAAATGCTTTGCATTTGGCCGGAAGAGAATAGATGACGCAGCAAAAATTGAATTAACAACTAAGATAAGTACTGTCCAAGGCATTATTTCCGGCTAATTGAAACGGTTGTAGCAAATCTTGCCAAGATCAAATTTCTTAGAATTTATCTCAAAATTTACTTTATAATGTTAACTGACTCTGAGTGAAAAATCTAAGAAAGGTGATTTTGGCAAGGACCGCTACAGGGGCTCAAAGTCAGGTCGGATTTTGACGTTTTGGGAAAACAAATAATTAAAAAATATATTTTATAAGTTTTCGTTGTCGTTAACAACTTATTTTCACTGAAGTTCTGTCCCTCTTCTTAGACTACTTTGAATAGCCCAAGCCAATGTAACTATGTATGTATGTCTGGCTGTCCTTAGGCAAATTGATAAGTAGGTCTTGTAAAACTTATCTGATGGATTTGTAATTTTGTTTGCACTAAATATACTGATATTTCGAATAAAGCATTCAGTTAGGAGATTAACAACATGGAACCCTCTAGTTTTGGAAAAAAGAAATAGAAGAATTTGATAATCAATATGTAAGAATTTAATTAAGTGATAGATTTTTGCAAGAATTTGCAAAGCCAATTAATTTATTTATGGATATTTTCCAGGGGTCTAGATGGGTGATCCGCATTGGGTTTTTGAAATTGGAAGGAAATAATATAGTGTTCAGTGTTTATTTAGCCCGGGTCAGGGTCAGAACCCGCTTCTTAATTTTTGTTAGATGACCCAACTAATCTAAGGAGGGGAACTGCCGTCACTCGTTCAAACCCTCCCCAAAAAATCCAGTTTTTCTCGGATTTAAAACAATCTTGCACAATTATACTTCCAGACAGTTGTTCTCTTATAACTTTTGGAAATTTTGATTTTTCATAAGGCATGTTTTTCCGTGGTCATGGAATTTTTGAGAATATGTTTTGATGTAGGATATTACAAAACTACTATCTGGGATTACAATGGTACACGAATTTTCAAACTTAGATCAGATTAGGATTTTTGGGGAGCGTTTCTGAAAAAAAAACAACTGGAAGGTTTCCTTCCAAATTATTATGTATTATTTCCCAAAATCAAAGCAACCTTTCAGAAAGTTTTCAAAAAAGAATTGGGACTGACATTAACATTGACAGAAATCGCACCAAGTACTATTCTACCAATTTCCAAACGCAGTGGAGATCACCTTGGGTCATCTGGTTTGAAAATCTTACAATTTATAAATTGTGTACTTGTTTGATCTACCCCACCAGGTCTATGCAAATTTAAGCCTTCTGTGTCCATTTTAGAAAATCAGTGGTGGTTATTTAATAAAATTAGTGTTGAACCTAACCTAAACCCCAGTTTTCGGTTAGGGGTCATAGGGGTTTTCACATTTTAAATATTGTCCGTGGTTATGACATTTTACTTTCACTTTAGTACACAAATGTCTTGAATTTTAGCCGTTTATGACCACTTCAAAAATACTAAACCAACGACCTCATCCTATTTTAATACTCCACCGATGAGCCAATCAAATTCACGTGTATAAAGTTCGAAATCAATTTTATAGTTTTTAATCTAAATTAAGTAATGACAGTCTACAGGGCCTCAAATGAGCCACGGGTCTCCCTAATAACAGACAGACATGAGCCATGTTCTAACTCACAATGGAGGCGCAAACCATGTTCAGCCCAGATTTTTTTTTTGGACAATTTTAGTTTAGAAGTGCAAGTCTTCAGAAATAACATTTGGCTCGGCACTTGCGCAGATGCGCAAAATTCAGTATGTTATGGGCGCCGAAATTTCGCAAAAACGCATGATTTTTAATGAAGGTCCAGCTCTCTCACCCTCATAAGAGGACATTGGTCCCGCGACCTTGCATCATTCGCAATTTTCATCCATAATGTCGAATATTTATATTTATACAATTTTGAAATTATTTCGCCCAATTCTGTACATAATTTTATTTAAAAAATTTCTCATACTAGAAATCACCCATACTCTCTGTTGACAAATATTTTTTACTTCTTGTTCAGAATACTGTTGGGTGTGAAGATACAGGCCTGATGGAGGAGGGGAACAAATTGCAGAATTTTTTTTTGCAAAAATATTATAAAATTCAGAAATTGGACAAAATTTCAAAATTTATAGTTGATAAAAATAAAACAATTAGGCATCATTGATGAAAAATGCTGATCATGAAGGGTCGCAGGGTCAATGCCCTCGTGTGGGAATAGAGAGCGGTCAGAGAGACGGAAAAAAGTTGAGCTCGCGCTGGACCTTGCATTAAAAATCATGCATTTTTGCGAACTTGCGGTGCCCATAACGGGCTGAATTTTGCGCATCTGCGCAAGTGCCGAACCAAATGTTGTTTCTAAAGACTTGCTCTTCCAAACTAACGTGGTAATAAAATAATCTGGCTAGTAGTGACTAGTGAGCTGAACATGGTTTGGGCCTCCATTGTCAGTTCCTAATTTTAAACATTGTGCAAAAAATTGCAAATCAATCGGTTATGTTTTACGGGACTGACAATTAATTTACGGATAGACGGACTTACATAGTTACATAAGCCCATACTCGGGAAATAAGTTCATTGAATTCTGAACCATATCAAAATAGTTGCCAATGACGTATGTTTTATCAATTTAAAAAACAAAATTGTCGAGCAAGACCGAAAAAAGCATGCCTGGGAGAGTACTTTCCTTTAAGCTTCATTCAGTTCATATTGGGAAAAAATTAATTGAGAGAACACAGCAAACTAAAGTTTAAAGTTTCGTTCTCCAATACTTTTCATGGCATAAAATAAAACGGGGGACACTTTTACTCTTTTTTACTCGACGTGTAAAATTAAACAGAGAATGGTTTTGCACTACACCGAAGCAAACCAATAATAACGTACATAACGTAGCGAAAATCTGTAACAAATGAGGTTTTCCCCGTTTTACAAAATTTCACTGAAGAGAACACTTCAAAAATTTGCTGGGAGAACACTTCGAAATTCTTGTAAGAAATTCCAGGCATGCTGCGCAGATAAGGTAAATTTCAAGATTTGTACTTACTAAATGCACTCTTCGACATTGTGCAACGAATATAACCAAAAAGAATTTATACATAAGGTTTTGGAGACAGATTTAGCAATAGTCGTAATGAATTACCACCAGTTAGTGACACAATTACCTTACCCAAATAAATTTGTAAACATTTTTTTTCCCTAGAGAGATCGAAAACGTCTCCAACACTGGTTCATAATCTCCCTCGTTATCTATGTCACCTACGTTGCGCAATATCTACTCTACACCATTTGGATAGTTTGGTCCCACGCCTATGGGGCCGCGGTTTTCGGGGGCTACTGCATTTACAAACTGTACGCGTTCTGGGTCCTTTTCTGCTACATTTCTGAAGTAAAGTATTACGGCGGGTTCAACTCTGCTCTGAGAGAACTTAGCGATGAGGAGATTGAAGGATTTTTTCACGGCCATCCCGCCATCTCTCGGGAAGGTGAAGACCCCGCTGTTACAAATAAGCCGTACAACTCCGATCTGGAAATCGCTTTCAACCGGATTAAAATAGATGAGCGGAGCCCTCTAGGAAATGGAGCTTTTGGGCGCGTTCTCAAAGCTGAACTTTTCTCGAAGCAGGGCGATCCTTTTACAGAAGCGAGAAGTATGATTGTTGCTGTAAAGACGCTAAACGAAAATGCGGACTTGATCTATTTCAAGGCAATGCTGCTGGAATTGAAAATTTTGAGCTATATTGGAAGGCATGAGAACGTGGTTAATTTAGTGGGAGCATGCACAGCTATGCTGAAAGAAAGTTAGTTTAGAGTTAAAAGTTTTGTTAAGTCTTTTACGTGTACAACTCAGGAGAGACCCTACACAAGTTAGAGGTGAGCCGGGCCTGGACTTTTCAAAGCCCGGCCCGCCCAAGCCCGGTTCAAAAGCTCATTTCAAAAGCCCGGGCCCGCCCAGGCCCGGAAAAATTAAGCCCAAGCCCGCCCAAGCCCGTTGGGCTTTTTATTAAAAAAGCCCGCCCAGGCCCAGGCCCACCGGGCTAAGCCAAGTGGGCTTTTTGTAAGGCTAGGTTTAAATGAATGATTATCAAAAATACCCATCATTCAAGATAGTTATTGAAGGGCACCCTAAAATTTATAAAATATAATTATTTAATAAGATGTACATAAATAAAAATTCAACTTCCTGAATTAAAACTGCAATTTTTAATTGATTACAGTACAATTGTCAAGCTGTGTAGTATCTGGGACTAATTTCAAGTTCCCTAAGTGTAAGATAGGTTGAACAGGTGCCAAGAAGTGATTGTTCTGATTTTAGCATGAACAATAAGGATGACATATACGTATGTAAGTGTATATAAATATACATAATGTAATGATAACAGAAAGGAACAAGTTAATCTGTTGTGTAAGAAGATAACTGGTGGGGTGAAAAAACATCAAGAACTTCATGAAGTTGTACCGGTGTGCTGCAATTTTGAATATAATCTCATCCACCCCCCAAAAATATGAGACTGGGTTGTTTTGATTCGGGCTTGGGCTTTTCCTAAAAAGCCCAAGCCCGGCTGGGCAAAAGCCCGCCCAGGCCCGGCCCAACTAAATTTGGTTCCTCAAAAGCCCAGGCCCGCCCAAGCCCGGTTGCTGACAGGCCCACCCGCCCAAAGCCCAATGGGCCTGGGCGGGCCCGAGCTAGCCCACTTAAAGCCCAGGCCCGGCTCACTTCTAACACAAGTTATGTTCAGATCTTGATGGCCTTTGCATATGTTGCAGTACCCCATTAGTCTACTAACACCCTGAAGTGGTTTGATTCCATGTCCCCATGTGTCCCCTCCACACCCCGTCAAAGGTGTAAAAAAATAAAAATATTTTTGTGGTGAACAAAATAAAATTAGTACCATTGAGATCTGAGATGTACATGTGAAAGACTTATGAGCATTATGAGAGTGTTGCAGTAAAATTACTTTCAATAAAATTGGTGTAATCTTATGGCAGGGAAGATCTACATCGTCGTGGAATTTTGCAAGCTTGGATGCATCACGAATTATTTGAAGGCGAACAGGGGAACTTTTATAGCTTGCTTTAATCCTGTCTTAAATGAAAATTCATCGGATTGTCAACCACCATGCTTGTCAGACTTGGTCAAGTGGTCACTGCAAACGGCGGCTGGAATGGAATACATATCTAATAAAAAGGTATTTTATATAGTGCTAAGGGGTGTTCATTTAATCCGGTAACCTTTTTAAAATGAAAAATGAAGGTTACCGGATTAACCGAACACCCTTTAAGTGTTTAGCTGACATGAAAGTCTAACGATGTTTAACGATGAAAATATTATTAGATTATTCATGGTGATTTGGCTGGAAGAAATGTCCTTTTGACTGGAGAGAAAGTCGCAAAAGTGGCAGATTTCGGACTTTCCAGGCAACTTTACCACTATTCGACATATATTAAACAAAACGACGAGCCCCTTCCTTGGAGGTGTTGACACTAAAAAATATTATTTTAGGTTTGCTTATTTTCTGGTATAACCATACTTTCATTTTCTAGGTGGTTAAGTCCAGAATCTCTTCGTGATCTCTACTTCTCTCCAGTAAGTGATGTCTGGAGCTTTGGTCAGTTTAAGAATGTATTTAGTGATGTGGGGAAGAGTAGCATGATTTGTGAGCTGGAGAAGAGAAGAGTGGCATAGATATGGAGAAGCGTGAATAGTCAAGTGGTTAAGGCGTTCGCCCGGAATGCGAAAGGTTCAGGGTTCGATTCCCTGGTCGGCTCTCCTCTATATTTTTGCACACTTTCCTGCGATCCGACTTACAAATCATGCCTACGGTGACAAAGTTACATATGTATTTGAATTATAATTATGCTACGATGTAATGACAGGTGTCACGATGTGGGAATATTTCACCCTTGGGGAAGTGCCATACTGTGGATATAACTATTCTACTGAATTCATAAAGAATTTGGACAGCTGCGCCTCTATAAACCACCCTATGCTAGTGATGAAATGTATGAAAAATAGGCAGGTTTTGGAGTAGTCATCTCTTACTCTGATTATGACAGTAGCCAAAAAAATGGCGGAGTAGGAAGGTGCTATCATTCAAAATTTTAGAATCTAGATAAAAATTTCTAGACTCTGCTTGTGATTTTATTGGAATCAGAATCAGCGTAAAAATTATTAACTCCAAACCTGTCTAATAATAAAATTAGAAGTTATGAGTTTTCATTATTTTCAATAAAATTATGTATTCAGACCCGAAGATTCGACCTTCCTTCACAGAGATTAGACTTGAACTAGAGAGAATCTTGAATGAGTATTATTCCCCTTCGGAAATGAGACCTTCATCACTTACAGGATATGTTTGTTTTTGATGAGTAATATTATACCTAACTCAGATAATCTGTGTAGTTTACTATCATATGCAAGTATGGATACCGTATGGTGCTACATATTTTAATACTGTATTTCAATGAGCGTAAATAACTTAAGGTACATGATGCCAAAAAATGAAACTTGCATAATTTAGCATAAATTTTTCAATTTTTATTTCGTTACTACATAATATTTATAAAATAAATATGCACATCTGTATGTTCAACTTAATTTTAAAAACGGTTCCAATACATACATTCTTAGTTCTTATTCATTAAACTAGTAACAAATTAATGACCCTATCAACACAAAACTGCCAAATCATCGGTGATGTCAACCTATCGAAGAAATTTCCTCCCCCCATCGAAATCCTTAAAGATGAACACGACCTTAAAAATCTCTGTCCCCATACCGTTCGAGTCCTACCCTTCGCATTTTTTACGAATCGTTCCGAGCACACGTGTGACAAACTGAGACATTTGACGAGGACGTGAACATCGAAGAAAAAGTCGACCCAAACGACGAGAAAGAATATGACGATTGGAATCGGCAGCTTGCTAAAAGACGTGGACAAAAGGAACATCGACATTATTTCCGCTATCATGACTAACAGGAGAAGGAGCGGCATTAATGGTTTTCTCCAGAACGAGTTCATCGCATTTTGAACAACTTGCGCTACCCGGTACGACTTCATTTTTTGAGGGTACTGTTCAGCTTGTCTGAAATTCACAAAGACAAAAAAGTAGTAATATTTTAATATGAGGAAAATGCACTCTTAAAAATAATGTTATTGAGTTTCCAAACGAAACTGTGCACAATAGATACGATCGAAATAAGTAACTTCAAATATTTGTGCATGTCACCATGGCAAAATACTTGTCTTCCAACCAGATGTGACGTGGTCATTTAAAAATACAGCACTGTTATGCAAATAAATCTTACCTATATAAATACATGAAAATAATAAACTGCGACAACGCAGGGTATACAAGTAGCGCAAGAATTCTGAGAATGCGATACAAAATAAAGAAAACAAAGATAAAAAAATAATGGAGATATCCTTATTCTATCCTGCTACTCTGAAGAATCATGCATCTTGCATGTTTTACTGTTTTATTAACCCTGAATACTTTAATCAATCTTACTTTTTTTTATATATCCTACATGCTAGATTCAAATTTTGTAAAAATCTCATTTTGCCCCGATCACACCCCCTGTGTGCCAGGGAGTGTGATCCGGTTGACCCCAAAATTTGGGGGAACCTCCCCCTGGGGTCGTATGTATGATGCCGCAAACCGATTTCGATTATCTCGATCCGTTCTGCTTGTACCGTGTTGACAGGCAGACGGACGGACAGACAGACTAACTAAGTCATCGCATAAAGTAGCTTGCGCTACTTAATAAAAATGTTGAATTTTTAAATAGCGACGTAGCATCTAATAGGTTTTTGATTTATTCTCTCTTGATGATGATGATGAAGTCTACCAGTAACTTACTTGAAGTAAGTACAGTTAAATCATTTGTGTGTGTCAAGTCTTTTGCATAAATCTCATCATATCTATTTTCGTCCATTCTGTTTTTAAATAGGCGTCACTATATTCAAATGAGATGCCCAAATAATTCCACAGTACATAAATACGCACCTTTCCACCAGTGTAACCCACAGCCGCATCATTTCCGCCGGATAGATAAGGACACCTGCGTGAAAGAAGACGCAAAATGTTGACGCCAAGTACCACGTGTACCCTTCGAAAAGCCCCAGCAATATCTTCTGGGTAAAACTGATTCCACCCGAACGTTCCCATCCAGCCTTACAATCCGCTAGCACAATGGCCCCAAGCGAAGGAGGAGTGCAGGGTCGTATCACGGTCATTCCACAAACTGCTATGGTCGGCAAGAAAAAGGTCATCTTTACTAACTCGCAAAACCAGACGAGGAATCTTATCGTGTAGTTTGAAGCCCCTGAAAGCGATTAAGCAATGTATTTATGTACGTATAAATATTTAAGGAAGAAAAATGTGCAAAATGTGTGCATAAACATATCTATTCAGCAAAAATTTCTTCATTTAAAACCCATTTATTTTTAGAATGAAAAAAAAATCATTCGTTTCGTATACTTTGTTCGAAATTGGAAAAATAATTTATCAATTGATAATTTTTGTATTCATTTCGTTCTACCTATCTCCAATTCGGCTTGTTAGACGGATTCCGTCATACTACCCACCGCAGCATAAAAAGTGAAGATGGTATAAAATTATTCGTCCATTCTCTATGAATATGACATGAATAAGTTCTTATTCAATTTCCATGCATTCAAAAAATTTTGACAACAAACTGCACAAATTGATTGAATGAATAATTTGTTCATTCTCTATGGTATAAATGAATATGAACAGGTGCGAAGGTATGTATGGTTATACATCTTGAAATTAATTACTTTTCTTAACTGCTTACCCATTACTTCCCTGCAATACTTTTCCATCTCGAAAGCTGTCTTCACAAGAAACTTGCATTCCGTTTTCCTCCAAAGGGTGACAATCTGACAGGAAAATGTGACCATAATAACGGAGAAGAAATACCCTATCATCACCTCTTTCCAAACTGGACTGCCAGAAAGTGATCCCATTCCAAGCGATTTTTTCAAAAAATGTAACATAAAAACTGCAGAGTTTAAGGCCATGGTAAAAACTGATAATGTTAGCAGCCCTAAGTGTCCTGGGCCCTTAAGGAAAACGACTTCGTTCCCGTTTCCACTGAAAACAATGGGATACGCGCACGACATCATGCACCAATCGGAAAGGTGATATATTAAGGGCCCATACGCCGTGGAGGGTGGGGGACGCCACAAATTTTTCAAATACTGGAGAAAATTACTCATTTTGAAAATTTTCTCAAATTCCCTAAGGAAATGAAAATACACGCCCAGCAACGACATAAGAAAAGCTGAAATAGTGCGCTTCTAAGCAAGTAGTGCTGAAATACTGTATAATTTCTCGAAAACCTGTACACTCTAGAAAATCCGGTGTTAATCGTTACGTGACTTCACTGCGCGGTAATAATGTTTCTCACTTTATTGTGATAAATATAACACCAGCCGGTAACAATTTGTCACCAAGCGGGCAATATTTATCACCATGCGGTGAAAAATATTATTATCATTTGGTGAAGTTGCATATGCTTACCGCACGGTGACGATTTTTAAGACCTGCTTTTTAAGAGTGCACGTACCAGTAATTTGTGTGCCTGGTTAAGAATAACTGCGTAAGAGTAGTCCACAGGACACTCGCGAGTATCTATGTAATTGTATCAATTTACACCATTTATTGAGAATTACGCTGAATCTAATAGTTACAAATAGATTTTACATTTTACGAGCTATACATACATACGTGGAAAATATAATTGCAGCTTATAATTGCTAGCGGCAATTTTATACACGTCGGATATTTAGAGCATATGCATTTAGGTAAAGCTGAATTTGGCAACTAAAGGAATTTTACAATATCTGCACATGTACATATCATCGTACTAATTCATAAAATATCGTGCGGCTCGTTTATCGAGCAAACGAATGGTGAAAACATTTCTTTTCTGTTCAAAATGAAATTAAATTTGTGCAGGATTCCAACAATTGCGCGATTGTGACTGACTGCAATCTTCATGGTGAATATACTATTCGTCGTCCATCGGCGATCAAAATTATAATACTAATCACCTCCCTACAAGTTGTCGGCTAATTTTTGATTGGAATTAATATAGTAGTTAGAACCTTCCCATATATAGTTTGATTTTCCTGGCATGCATTACCTACCATTTAGTTACGTAACGTTTTTAAAAATACTACAGAAACTTTTCTATTAAACAAACAAAGGATTGAAAGAATGAATGAAATTTTTGAAATTACCGGTGAGTTTGAATTTTTAAAATACATAAATTACAGTCTATTTAACCTTCATATGTATGTAATAGCCCACTTTATAGGGTATCGCATTCTAATAAATATATAAATACCCAGATACGCTGTCGTCAGTCCAGCCGTTACTGCGATAGCCAGTGCAGCGGCCACCGTTAAGTAGGCATAATAGATCAGGGACGTCCAGCAAAGCAGCGGAGTCCAGTGCTTCCTTGGAATTAGAGTTATCCACTGGCCTAAATTTGGTTCCATGAGGTACGACATGGCGGAACAGAAAAATGAGAAACTACCCGTTATTAAAGCTACGAAATGCAGGAACCACTCCAACATTTTGCCGCTCGGGTGTTCCACACATTTTTCTTTGGAGACCCAGCGTCCCTCCAGATATCTGGCATACTGTAAAGTCTGATTTAAGGTGTGCACAAATTCGGGTGTGTCCGCTAACAAAAGGTAGAAACAGATAAGCGCAATGATACAGGCCATTATCATCAAGTAGGTAATGTTGATTTGGTACACGTCCGAGTGCTCGAGTGGGACGAGAAAGTAGTGCGAAATTCGAATAAAAGCGACGACTTGGGTGGCAAAGATGAGAATGGGTGGCACCCGTGCGACTAGACGGGTGTATTTTGAGGTGTAGAAGAGATTTGTTCGGTGCGAGTAGCGGATGGGATTGGCGCCGAAGTGAGACGTTACTGCGAGGCAAAGGTCGACAAAGGTGATGACCTGTTTTGAAAACATTTTCGGGAATGCAAAATTTTTGAAATTGAATTTTGTAAAGTTATTTTGTTGTGTCACATATGTACGTCCTAACGTGAAAGGAGGGTGAAAGTCATGCCAGGTTGGAAAGAATCAAGGAAGAATTAGACTTGTCATCGGGTAGGTGATCGAATTATAAACTGACAATGCGATGATGTGAAGTGTAACCCTCCGATTTGGCTAAAATTTAAAATTAATTAACACGTTAAAAAAGATAGTAATAACATCAATCGTTTGTACATAAATATGCACTGTTGGCCAGACTACTTAATAAAACATCATTTTTGTGTAATTGTTTCTTTATGTAAATCTTCTATTTTGCCTTATTGAAATATAAACATATCCAGTTTTTCCTAGATTCACGACTTACACAACTTATTGCACACCTCGGTCACAGGGTAAAAATAAACAGCAATTTGCACTACACCACGTTTTACGTTCAACTCAACACTGACGTCAAGTTGAAAACATACAAAAACGCTGCGTTTTTTAATCATTAAGATTTATTTAGTCGAACAGAGACTACTCAATTCTTGACTACTTACGTATTTATCCACATCATGAGGAAAGTAAAGATAGCAACATTGCCAGAAAATGGTCAACAAGAAAACTTGTCGGACGGAAGCATGGAGAAAGTTACTGTGGTCATCGACACAAAAAGAGACGAGAAAAATAAAACTACAAGCGGAGAGGAAATTAATAGAAATAATACGATTTATTACGACCGAGTTGTAAAACAGGATGGATCATTCAACTTTAGAAATTCACATGTGCAACATAGACACAAGAAATTTATGGTCGATATTTTCACAACTTTGTGAGTAATTAATTTACATAATTGTACCTAATATTATTTGTAACATGTATTTTTACTTTTTTTCTTATGTTTACTTTGATTTGCACAGATTAGAAGAAATCAGGTGGAGATGGACAGTACTCGGATTCTTTGTGGTGTACCTGATGTCATTTGTTTGTACGTATTTATTTATGTACCTGCCTAAATAACTATTCACACGTTGTGAATCACAACGTATGTATGAGCAGATCTGTATAAACAAATGCATTTACATAGTCTGAATTCACATTCACAAAACTGAAATTTTCGCTTAGAAAAGTAAGTAAATGGGCTCGAGTCACGTATGTATGATTTGCTGACTCACAATTAAAATCGTGCAAATCTCCTCATTCAAAAACTGCCAAAGTATTGAGTGTAGATACATTTGTCTAAAATTTGCATCTTATCGTCCAGAAATGAGAAGTAAATTCCTAGGAAGTACAAAAAATTTAGATTTTTAGTTCTACTCTTTCCCAATTCAATACTGTACAAATTCAAAATTTCCAACAAGGCACAAATTTATGTAGCATATTTTCACGTTATCAGTGTGCGAAACTTATTTCAAAATTTTATCACTTTCTCAGGTTTCGGGACGTGTTGGTATCTAATTTTGTACATGCATGACGACCCACGCCATTTCGGCGACCCCAACTGGACCCCTTGCATCACCGGGATGCAGAACTTAACTTCCGCCGTCTTATTCAGTATTGAAACCCAGCAAACGATTGGGTACGGTTATTACCACGTGACGGAGGAATGTCCCCTGGCGGGAGTCTTGCTCTTCGTGCAAACCGTGTGGGGCGTCATCCTCGAGGGAACCGTGGTGGGGCTCGTCTTCATAAAAATGTCACGTGCCAAACAGCGCAGTGAGACTATTATGTTCAGCAAGAATGCCGTCTTGACGATGCGGGATGGTGTAATGAACTTCATGTTCAGGATTGGAGGTAAGGGGCAATTTCCAAAATTTATCACACTCTTAAAAATTATGTTATCTTTTGGAAAATTGAATCGACTTAGATCGATGTTAAGTGAACTATGCTAAATCTAGGGTGACTTGATAACGAGTAAAGTTTAATCTACACTTAAGCCAAGTAGTCAGGACGGATATTTCACACTAATCGGCTGGTTCTTAGCTCTGTGCTAAATCACAACTTCGCAGGAATTTCAGTACAAATTGAACAACAAAATGGGAGCGTTTCTTCGAATCAATTAAAAATTTTAAGCATCTTTTTTCCGCTTTGCTCAAATTTTTCACGTGAAACTCTGACCTGAGTACTATGCTGTCGTATTCATTTACTTTCCAAAATTATTTTTAAGGGTGCAGCATCACCATTAATTTAAAGTGTTTAATTTAATTTTAATTTGTGTTTAAACAGATATGCGAAGCACGCACCTTTGCGAAGCGCACGTTAGAGCGCAACTAATCCGCAAGCGGAGAACACCAGAGGGCGAAATTATAAATTACGCACCTCAAGAACTTGCCGTAAGTATTTCTGGATGCTTTTTAATCTTAAACTTGAATTTATACTTGTAGTCATTTTTTAGGTTGGAGGTGATGGAGAACTTGGAAGCACAATTTTACTCTTTTGGCCGACGGTGATTGTTCATCCGGTTACTTGTGACAGTCCATTATTCGACATTGTCCAAGATTTCCACGAGTATGACGAAGAATCTTTTGAAATAATTGTGATCCTGGAGGGAATTGTTCCGTCCACGGGAAATTGTACGCAGGCCAGGTCATCCTATCTACCTTCCGAGGTATGTATGCACTCTAAATAATCCTGGCCATACATTTACACTCTTAAAAATAATATGCATTGTCCCTTTGAGCATTAAATCCAGTCTGAATTCTAAATTACGTCAACTGTGTATTTATATTAAAACCTGAGTAACCTTGACCCTTTGGCAAGTAGATTTAGTTTAGTCCCCATAATACAGTTGAAATTCAGGTTACACTCATTTTCAAAAAGCTAGCATTATTTTTAAGAGCGGAAATATATGTTTGCTATTTTGTAAGGGTTACATTTCTTCTACACACACTAAAAATTTTCTTTCAATTTTCTTCTAGATTTTATGGAAACAACAGTTTGAAGCGATATCATGTACAAAATCACGTTCCGGCGAACGAGTCATTGATTACGCAAATTTCCATAAAACAATTCCCAGCACTATTTTGAACAAACGGATGTCCATCTTTCAACATTCTGACGATGTTAAGGAACCCCTGCGCAAGAGGGGTTCAATTTTCCAGCAATTACGTGGAATAACCCCGGCGTAGATTTGTAATCTCGCTTTTCACTTAATCAACGTCTTTAAATGCAAATGCAGAACATTTGTTATCAAACTCGAAATGCTAGATGGCATTCATATCTATAGCCTCGTCAGAAATATGATTCTACGACGTAACAATATGATTGCCTACATACATATATATTATCTTATCATGCTGGATTATACATATGTATGCCTGAGCGATTGTTAATGAAGTACGCTTTCAAAAAACAAACGAAAGCAGTATGTATAAAGTGCTCATTTCGCTCTACAATTTACTTATATATATATCAATTGTGTAAAAGATTTAAAAGTTATTAATAAATAATTTAGTACAATGCCATTTCGGCCAGGAGAAGTAGTTATTGACTAATTAATTGATTTATTGATTGATTGCTTGCTTGTCCCAAGAATGGGCGTAAAGCCTGAGAAAATAATTTAACAAATTGTTACTTAATTTATGAAAAACGCGAATCTTCCTGGAACTTACGCCTAGATATTCTGTTCGTTTGATTCCGCACTATTTCCTCTTACCGGGGCAAGATCAAGGTACCAAACATCCCTTGGAAATATCGTTTCACCCGTCTATCTATTCATAACCTTTCCCCCGAAGAAATAAATCCTCCCCAACTTCTCCACATAGATGGGAACAGGAGCCACGTCGTAATAATAGTCTTCATCCTGCAATTGGAAATTATCCACAGGGACAAGCCTCCATTCATGTGAGTTTGGATCCAGCTGCAAAATACCCCTCGACGGTGGCCCTCTGTTTCCCCCCAGTATGTAAATATTCTCCCCGTTATAGACCACCTCTGGTGCATGATTAAATGGGAAAAATCCAACATCAAACACTGGTCCCTCTAATGTTTCTAAGTCCAAGACTTGAAAAGCAGAGTTGTGTGGAGCCGCGATGCCGAAGAGGTAAGCCTTTCCTCCAACTCGGACGGATGTAGCTGAGCGAAGTCCCGGGACGAGGGACCCCTTTTCTGTAGCTATCAGTGTCGACATGTTGAAAGAGGCGACCCGGTGGTAGTGACTTTGTCCCTCGAAGATTAGAATTTCCTCAGAATCCTCTGCCTTCCTCAGGGTTGTGGTAATACTATATCGCGGGACCAAAGGGATCTGTCCAACGTAGGCCGTGACATTTATGAGTGGGTTGCATTTGTAAATAATGTTGCTAGTCGAACCACCCCACCCGAAGAGGTAGATTGAGGAAGAAGAATCTCCTTGGACTGAGATGTCGCTCAAGTACCCAGGCATGTGACCCACAAGGGTATTGGTGCCAGTGGCGATGTCGAAACGGAGGATTTCACCTTTCTCTCCTGTGGCAGTGTTGAAACCACCGAAGGTAAAAATGGAGTCAGACGATCCATCGAAGTAGGCGGCTAAATTGTACCAGGAGTAGGGCAAGGGGTCGACGTAGACAGCGGTAAGATTCTGTGCAGCAACGAGGAAAGGAACGGAGATCAAAATTATTAAGGTTGAGGCGGAAACCATTTTAGATTTTGGGTATAAATGTATTTATAAGTTCAAGATGAGAGTTGAGTTCGAAGTAAAGTTGCAGCTAAATTTTCTTCATTTTATATGAGCGGAAAAGAGGTTAAGGGAGGAAGTGACAGAATTTGATTAGATATCATTGTGATTTCAGGATGACGCAAATCAGGGCATATCTCTGTGTAGACTGGACGTTCTCATGTAACGATAAGGTGAACATTTCAAGTTAAACTTGCGTGTGGCAATAACTGGGTCGTATATATTGCAAAAATCATTGCTTATAAATATAATACAGAATTTAGTTACGCAACGACTTATCCTTAGATAATGGATTGCAAGCTTTTAGGTAGATTTTTTTGTAAATTATGTTGCACAATTTTTCAATTACCGGTCGATAAGAGAAGCATGATTGAGGATCGCACTCTGTAAAAAATCCACCAAACGAATAAGTTTATTTCAAGTTCTGTGTGAATTAATTCGGTACTTGCGTCAGACAAGGGTTGCATACATACGTCAATGGAATGATGCGATGTTTCATTCATGAGAGATAGATTACGAAAGGGTTAAATCAATTATTAGTCGCGACTCATTATATTCGAGAAATTATTAATCATTTTCACATATCCCCGATTTCAAAATTCCACAAATTTTAGGATTCTTGTATTAAGAAACGGAATTTTGATAGCACTTGAATAACTGTATTTTTATTAGTATGTCAAGAAAATTGAATTTTTATACGTTTCAACAGTTTTAATTCTTTTTACCAGATTGCGAACAACGTGCCTTATTTAAAACTAAGAAATTCGATTGTTAAAGATATTGTCGCATATTGACTCATTGAAAGGGTTGAAGAACGCCAATTTTAAAAAAATTTTAATATTAGCATCACAAACGTGTAAACAATTGAGGCGAATATAGTCAAATATGTATATTTTGTCACCGAAACATATTTTTTGAAGTATAAAAAATGTACTTGTTCCGAGTTTTTTGCCCTTTTCGGGTGAAAAGGTTCATTTTCTAAAACTTTTGCAACTTCAAGTTGCTTCTCTCCCATGAGTGATTTTATAAAATACTTTCAGTGTTTTATAAAGATATCATGTGCGGCCCTTAAAAATAGCAACTGCTGGTTCGGGCTATGTTCAGGGAAAACCCTTATGTGGTCCAGCTCTGTACATAATTATGTAAGTGATTCGTAACTTATTAAAAATAGTTGGTGCCATAAAACTTTTTTACCATTGACAATACTAAAACCAGCTTTTCATTCTTGGTTTTGTTCTAATTACTTAACTTGCAACACTATCATTAATTAACATTATGAATATGATTCTAATCCTACCTTTTGCAAACTACACCCTCAATCATTGCTTAGACTACATGCCAAAATTTCGCTTCCCCTCTTTCATCAGAATTAGTGACATTGTCTGGTTCAAGCAGAAATTCTGAATCACCAACGGTGTCCCACTGTCGATAAAATTTGATCCAAACTTGATCTTTAAAGTTCCACAGGCTTTCAATTTCTTTCGTATCACGGATCGTCTCACAAACTGCAGAGTTGTCCCGTCCAGCTTCTTCAGCGATTTGATAGACGAATTGAAGACCCAGGATGCCAGTGTGAAGATTACTATATTATTCAATGTTGCCTCCAACTGAATCACTGGAAATATTGTGGGGAATGGATATTCCACCCGACGATCCCACCACTCGACCCACGGAAGCCACCGGGGCCGAGCTCGACTGTAAAAAGGAAGATCTCTCTCCGTCTCGACACAGACCGGCCCGAGTGTTCCCAGCGTGAACACCTCCACTCTTCTCTCCACATTTTTCCCTGCACCACGCCGTCTGCGTGGCTGCCATCTTTAAAAATAAATTCTACGACCTAAATTAAGTTCCTAAAATTTATTTTGTAAGAGTAATAATTGCTAATGTGAGTAGTAAAGATTCTGAAACTCTTGTCAAGTGAAAATTACGAAGTATACCGTTATTGGACAGGTTATTCGGGTCATTTTTCATAAAAACTCGTACATTGAATCGTGCCAGGTGCAGTTTAGTATAGAAACGGTGCATAAGTGGTAATCGGAGTAAAAACAAGACAGTATTTCTAATTGCCAAGCGAGAGACAATTCATCCTCCTCCCCGTGCGTCGTAGCTCCCATCCGGCTACCCCCCTGTGGCCAGTGAAGGTGTCCCGTGATCAGAAACGTGTCGCATCCGTCTCCCAAGGACCCTGACGTCCGGTACTCGATGAGACTCGCCCATATTCCCCTACCGAGCCCACGGCGGCATCATCATCTCCGCCCACAATATGAGGAATACCGGCATCGCAATTTCGCCATGCATCGTGATAGTGGCATATTGCACGACTATTTGCAGAAGTGGGACCCCGCAAATTAATGAAGGCACCACCGATTCCATGAGAAACGCATTCATTATTTTTTCAATTAGTTGCACCATGCGATACGTCGAGACACAGGAATCGATCTCTGCTAGGGAAATGGCCTTCGATATTTTTCTGAATGTAAAAAAAAACATTAAGATAATAAGCTAGGAATAAACTTTTACCAGTGTGGAATCAAATTAGTAAATTATTAATGTAATCTATATTATAAGCTGGAAATGTTTGTCTGCAACGGAAGTGAAACCAATTTTCTGTGACGGAAGCGGAACTGGAGAGAGTTTAACCATCCCTTGCCAACAGACTTTTCAGCTGATAATATGGATACAATAAAAAAATTCGGTGGAATTATGAATAATCCGGCTTAATTTTCATGAAAATCAAATAAGCCCGTCCGTTTGTCAAATAAGGTGGGAGACGGGCTTATACGCTAGTACATTATATAAAGGTAGCGTGAATTTTCTATTGTATGTGAACTTTTCATAACGTTTCATTCGTTAAATAATTATTACTCGAGCTCTGTTTTTAACACATTTTACCTTTCGAGTAGCTGAAAATAACTCAACATCGAGCTAATTCCAGCGAATAGATTGTATACAATTGGAGTTGTTCCAATATAGAAGACGCAAAAGCAGAGATACGTTTCCAGCAGTGGGATCAGTATGATCAGCCCATTCCATCGTATTACGGAGCAGCTTTTGGACATGGACAAAATGAACGGTGGGGTGCAAGGATCCATCAGAGTCAATCCGAGACATGCCAACGGGATCAAGTAGTGAGATTCTTTCAGGATGTGGAAGAAGATGAGCATTGCCTTAACTTGTAAGGTCTTTTCCAGCTTTGCTTCGCCTGTGACAAAATTAATAAGCTCAAAGAAAGATTCTCCAATATTGATTGGCCTCTTGGCCACAAAAAATAATAATCCGTAGCATAAATAGTCATCTTTTTATACTTTTGATTAGGGTTGCCGCGGGTAGCGAAAATGCTACCCGTTACCCGACCCGCTACCCGCTGCCTAACTACCCGTACCCGCACGGGTACCCGTGCGGGTACCCGTTGCCCGTTACCCGTTATGAGGATTAAATTAAAAACTAAACAGCCTCATTAATCAATCGGATTTAATCAATTATTTGCTTGTTTGGGTTGTGGAGTAGTTTGAGATAATGCTGTACGAGTAACGAATGTCATAATTTGCTGGATCTCATTAGATGTTTCTGAAACCAAACTTTTTTGGCCTACAATGTAACCTTTTTCAAGCCTGTACCGGGATTTCTGAGCGAATTATATCCAAAAAATCGGGCCAAAAATGAGGAATTATCACTTCTTGAATTACACCGTTTCAAAGAAAACTATTGGGGGAAGAGTTCGAAGTCTACCATGTTGTCGAC